ATGAATTTAGTACTTCCAACATTCCCATACTACTACTGACCTCACTTACAGAAATGGCAAACTGAGGCTCAGAATGGTTAAGTGATCTGCCAAACATCACAGCTAGTAAGTAACAGGAGCAGAAATCCAAACCCAGGTTGGAGTCCAAAGCCATCTTCTTTAGCTCACGCTGTTGTCTCCCTCACAGCCGCAGCAAGAGTTGTGAGGACTTCCACCAAATTCCAAAATAACTCAGTCCTTCATTCCTCTCTGTTCCTATCACTCGCTCTAATTTTTCACTCAGAACCATATTTATGTCTCTTCATTCTCCTTGGAACCCCCACATTAAATACGATCATTATGTTTCTCAGGACCAGCAGCCGACCTGAGCCTCCTCCCACAGGCACCTCGGGGCACGTGTGCACGTGGAGGGTGGAGAGAACACCTCAACACCGCGTTTACTCCAAAGGCTTTTTGTTCTTGCAAAATTAGTTATCCAAAACCCGGCACCGATTTGCTTATTTTAATCTTCTTACTTAGAAAATGACAACCATGGACTGAAAGGAGCGGATCCATAATCCAAGGTTACTCATCCAGTTTGTAGCCTCCTCAGCCAGTACAGTCGATCCTCATTATTTGCAGATTCTGTATTTTCAAATTTGCCTACTTGCTAAATGTATCTGTAACTCCGGTGCGCTTGTGGTCGCTGGCAGACTTGGGCAGATCACTGAGAAAGCTGAACTCACACTCCTGGCCGAGGCTGAATGAGGTAACACGCTGCCTGCTTGTTTCAGCTCTCATACAATAGCAAGTATTCTTTCCATGGTCTATTTAGTGTCACTTTTTTGCATTTTTGTGCTTTCTTGGCTTGGTGATTTCACTGTTTCAAAGGGGCCCCAAATGCAGACTTAAATGCTGTCTGACTTTCCTGAGCTCAAAAAGGCTGTGATGTGCCTCACGCAGAAAATGCGCGATAGAGCAGCTTTGTTCAGGTGTGAGTTATGGTGCCGCTGGCTGCGAATTCCATGTTACCCAAGCAACGCTATATATTAAATTAGGTCTCTTTAAAGAAAAACATACTTAAAACGAGGTTATGTATTGATCAGCTGATGAAAATGCTGTGACCAGAGGCCTACAGCAACCGAGCTCTGTGCTCCTCTGGGAGTACTCGCTGATTCAGTGTGTGCAGTGACTTTACAGAACACAGCTACAGCGAATGGGAATGGACTGTACTCTGAGGGTGGAAGAGGGTGATAAACTAGCTCTGGAGTCAAGAGGCTTGGATTCTAATCCTAGGTCTGCCACAGGCTGCACCTGTCCAGGTTGCAACCTCTTTGTCTGTAAAATGGGAATATTAGTGTTTGTTTAGTGTTATGAAGATAAATTAAGATGCTCATAAATGTACTTTTTACAAAGTAGAAAGTCCTTTAATAATACCAACAATAAGTGTACCTTCTCTATATTTGGCACTTAGAAAATTTCAAGGTATTTTTAATATGTCATAATTATTTTACTTTGGAAGTTATATTTTTTAATTATTCTATTTTATGTTTCTAATACATTCTACCATATTTAAAAATCTCTGAACTTATTGTTCAAAGATAATTACAATGTACAATTATGATTTGCAGTATTTTTTCTTCTTTCTTACTGGAATATTTTATTTTATTCTATTCTATTTTATTTTATTTTATTTTAATTTATTTACTGAAACATTTTAAAGTATTGGTGTTTCTTACGTTCAGTGGGGCCTTAAATTAGATGATAGGGGGTATTTTATATCCACCCGCCCTTACAGGTTCTCTTTGCCTAGTGCTGACTGTAAGCTTTCTAAATAAATGTGAACATTCCAACCTGATTCCTTCTCCTTCGAGGAAGTCTGTCTATCTTTTCCCATCCTTTCATAACCTCTCAGCTCTTTGTATTCCTGATCCAAGTATCTTTTCCTTTTGTTATTTTTTTCTTTTACCCTATTTTCACATTCTTTTAACAAATTTAACCTTTATTAAACAGACTTTCTAGTTTCTGGTGTGATAGTCTAATACAAAAGAAAATGTGCTGATGCTACTTCCTTGGGACAAAATATTTCATTGCCTGCATCTGCAAGTAACTCTGGAAGGTAAGTTAGAGACTTCGTTCCAGAAGCTCCCTGCCTGCAAGCAGTTGATGATCAGTAAGACTTTGTTGACTGTTTCACAAATACAGTAACGGCAGGCCTCTCGGTGGTGCTTCCGTTTCTTTCCTCTCCGTAGGTCTGTCACCTTCCTTTCCCCCTGACGGCTGCCCCAGTAAAAGCACTTTTCCCTGTAGACTAACAGGCTCATTTCTTTTGAACTCTCAGATCAAGAACTGCTCCCACGTATGAATGCTTTATTTCAGGAAAGAACAAAACCAAACAGGAATCTCAGAGTTGCTCGGCAGCACGACTCTGGAGAGAGAGGGAAGGGATGAGGAACACTGTCTTGGCTCTGACCTGCGGCCGGTGCTCCCATCTCCTCAACCTTATTTCCTCTGCTCACTGCTGTGGGCTCCTCTCCCCTTTGTGCTCATCCCACCAGCTGGCTGTAAAAAGAATGATCCTACAACACAAGGGCACATTCTACTAGAAGAAAGCCCCAGGTCCTTCCATGCAAATGTACCCGCCTCCAGGGTAACAGAGGCCTACTGGGATCACCAGTAAGGACGAACACTGCTTAGGGAAAATTGATCGCAAATCCTACAGGAAAGTTACTGCTCACAAAATACTCTTGTTACGTGCAAAACCGGAGTATTACTAGCTGCACTTTTCTTCATATGGGTATTTAAAAATAACAGATTTCTCCTCCCTCCCAAATGCATAGGTCACAGAGAGCCAAAGTGATTCATGGGTTATCCACCCACAGCCAAAGATGGAAGTTGAGAGGTGAGGGCAAGAGGGCAGTGATGTCTCTCTTGGATTCAAGTTTTCATCTCAAGTGGTGCTTTCGACCTGATGCCCAGCATGAAGGTGTCCCTAGGAAATGAGTCCATGTGTTAAGTAATCACAAATAGCTAATCTTTCAGGCATTTCACACTTTTTTTTCTATTCATAACTGACAAACTGAGTTGCATCTATATAGTTGAGTTTCAGTATGGGTTATTTAAAGCAATCATGGTTCTCCATGTACAATGGCCATTGGTTCAAGCTGATGGAGGGGACGCCTTACAGTAACAGTGATGACCATTAGTCCAACTTCAACAATTATTAATGTCTGACCATCAAGAGGACTCAAGAAATTGCAGCATTTTCATCTTTCTGGGACGTAGAGGACAATGATTAGTGTCAGGACAGCAGTGATTTCTCTCTGATATAGACATTCCACCTGCACTAATCCAGGGAACTGGAGGTGGAGCGAATCCTGAATTTGGTTGGTAAGTTTACCAAGGACAGATGGCTTGCCAAATATTCAGGATTAAGAATTAGACAGTAACGCTCTGGACATCTGTGTCACCTGTCCTTGCACTCGGAAACGCTCACCCACAGTTCTGAATGGCTGATGTTAGGTTCTGCAGCTGGCTGATCCCTACCGCACTATGCTCTCCCCTAACGAAAAAGGAGGAGTGGGGAGTAAGATGGAACGTCCTCTTTTGGGGTAAAATCCGTACTTAATTGACCATGATTTACGAAACTGTGAAAGTTATAAAATCCCAGTGAGTTAGATGCATACCTCTCTGACTTGGAGGAACCAGCTGCGATCTGGTTCCAGGGCATTCTTAGGGGTCCTGCCCAGTCTCTCCCCTGCAGTCAGAGCCTGCCTGACGTGGGAAAACACCATGACTCTGCATCTAACCCCAGGGCTCAAAGACAAAAACAGGATGGATTTACTTCACCTCTTGCTTCTCTCCAAGACAGCTGCACTCGCTAATTCAAAAATATTCTGAGCCAAACTGTATCTGGGGGAATTCTCTTAAATACAAGGACAGAAGGAAAATAAATTTCTCATTTGGCAATTCTAATAAACAAGTGGGTAGCTTCCTTTAACATTTCCTTCTTTCTACATCAGCTACAAAGACAAAATTGGGTGGTGCGAAGACATCGAGTTAGGAAAAGAGCATAATTCCTACTTCTATTTACGGATCAGCCTGAAAAGTTTTTAAGGTACTACGTGTGCTTTACCCTGAACATAATATATTAGAATAGTAGTACATGTATGGAAATAACCAATGAATGTGTACCTTGGTAGATTTTCTACCCCCCAAAATTTTTATCAATGAGCTGCTTAATTCAAAAGTTTGGGGAAGGGTATACTCAGTGGTAGAGGTCCTAGGTTCAACCCCCAGTACCTTCTCTAAAAATAAATAAATGAATTAACCTAATTATCCCCCTCCCCAAACAAAACCAAAAAGTTTGAAGACACTGTTCTAGTTAATGATATTAATATCTTTTATAAGCCACAGACATGTAGGAATGAACTTAAAGATATAAGGAAAATCATGAGCTACTCCTTTCAGTTTACAGTTGCTTATTAACCTCAAGGAGAAGTTTGCATGCTAGAAAGAGACGATGCCATTGAAACTTAACAAGAAAGGGCAGAAATTAACCGAATAGAAATAGTACTATGTGAACCCTGCCTCTGCAGCTATCATTTCACTTTAATTTCTATCACTGACTAATGAAACACATATATCAAAGTCTTTAAAACATGTAGAAACTATTTTAAAGAAACAGGGTCACTTTTTGAAGAAAACTCAGGCTCACAGCACCTGGCCTACTTCAATCTCACTGCACCACATCTAGGAACCACTTCTGTATTGATACAGACATCTTTTAATGTGACTATATTCTTCTGGCCTAAACTCAAGAAGACTGTGGCTAGTGGCTCATCCTGAAATTTCTGTTTAGCACTGGCAGGCTAAAACTCTGCAAGGCTGTTTTTCCAACTGTTCTACATCGCTGGCCAAAACAAACAGACAAACAAAAACCATACACACATGCACACATGCATACATACATGCAGATGGGACAATGGAAAGGAAGGCTTGCAAGTAACAGGACAGCGTACCTGGGATGCTCTCTAACTTTCTTCTGAGCTCTTCATTTTCTTGTTGCAGTGAAATCACCTCCTGTTCCAGCTCTTGGCACCGAGGACAGTAGCCTTCCTCTTCCTCCTCCTCTTCCTCCTCGGGCAGTGTAGAAGAGGATGGGTGACCATGGGATTCGGATGTCGCTGGGGAGGTCCAGCCACCTAGTGTGTGCACTGGGGATGTTGACAGTGGATCCACATCCGCCAGGTGGCCATACTCACTGACCGAGGAGGCGTTTGGAGTCGGAAAGCTCCCTGAGAGCAGGTAATTTTGTAGGGAGTCGGTGAAAACCCTCAAGAAGGCAGAAGTTTGTTGTTTCCTTTGCATATATTGCATCTCTATGTCTACATTGTCTGAGGTCTGACTGTGGACCCCTTTCCCAGCGGGACATGGTTCCTGCCGTTCAATATAACTTGAGCCTTCCTGCTTTATGCAAGAAATCATGGTCTGAGAATGGTTGGAGTCCAGAAGTTTTCCTCCACAATTTAAGAGGCTAAGGACTCGGCTGCATTGTTGAGCAAAAGCGTCCAAGATCATACGACTCTCTGAAACACAGAAGAAGACACATCAGAGACTGTCAGCGAAGACAAGGACAAGTTATGTCCTCCATTTGGAGTCTGACATTAAAAAATGTCAAAAACATGGATTTTTTACTCTCTGCCACACACCAAGGTGACATGGTGAGTCCACTTGTAATAGGATGCATAGCTTCCTGTGGCTTTGTGGCTGATGGGGTGCCTGGTGAGTCACCCTAGCCAGACTCTGGGAGAAGGCTGGGCTCCGATGGGGGCACTGGACAGAGACACCCTCTCCGTGGCATGAACTGGACAGCACAGATCTGAACCTACACCTTTGGCTTCATTAATATCCTCATTCTAATGAACCAAGCCAGCCCTGCAGACTCAATTCCTCATTGACAGGAGGGCTGAGAGCAATCATTACTTCTATTTCTGGAGTGCCCTCATGCCCTTGCTATTAATCAGCTGATCCAGTCCCTGCTGAGAGGACGTCACTCCCAGATGCAAACTGGAGAAGAAAGATAAGTTTCTTTGAAGAGACTGCGAAACATCTAAGGTAAAACGACGCATGGGCCTACGAGGCCGATGATGATAAACCCAAAGCAAGACCGAGTCACCCAACATCTGTGTTCACGCTTCTTTCTTTTAATCTGTCTGCCAACTTCGATTTCTTGTCAAGACCAACATGTAGGCTGATCTATATCAGGATCACCTGAAAAGCAGCAGTGCCTCTTAGAGCCTCTCCCATCAAATCACCAAACCTCTACTACGACGGTATGTGCCGAGTGCCAGTTAGACCCCGTAAACGTACTCTAAAGCATGTTAACTGTCGATCAGTGGAAAGCAAACAGCAAACAGAAAACAATCAGGTCACTTCAAAAAGAAAATAAGAAAGGAAAAAAAAACCCCTTCATAGTGAAAATGTGATTTAATATTGTCAGTCCAAGGGTCTTGAAACTTCACCCTAAATGTAACCATTACAAGGAACATTCTCTTCTTTCCAGACCACCACCCAGAAGGCGCTGTTTGTAAATACCCAGAGAGAGATACATTTTAGGGTTTACTTAGAGGTATGAGGGTGCCCCTCATTTTCTCTCCCCCAACACAGAACAATGGCAACAAACAAAATACTATAGATTTTAGATGCCAATGTCCATTGTTTATGACAGAAATGTAACCAACAACATGCAGTCTCTGGAAATGTTGACTAGCTGTATTCTTCCCCCCTTAGGAACCTTTAAAAATGAAAAATGGTGAGATGCTCAAGGGCTTCCAGGGGGACAACGAATCAAATAGCTGTGGCTAAGAAACTGATTCTTCTAGAAAATGCAGGATGATGACCACCGAAGCCAACCTTCAGAAAGCTCCCTGCGGTACTTCATGCTCTATTGTGTTGCTTCTTAGTAACTAAGATGTCAGGGGAAGGTGGGACAAGTCTCCTTTTTCAACTATTTAATAAGAATACAGACACAGCCCAGAGCATATAGGAAGCACCTTTTGACAATCTTCTGAATCTATAAAATGCTACTGCTCCTAAATCCCTCAGGAAAAATGACAAGTCAACTTGGAGGCCAGTTCTCTGAAGTTCAGGAGAGGATTACAGGCTGCATGTTCCATGAGCAGATGGGGGATGAGGACCAGCAGAGTGTCTCAAGAAATATTTACTAATGCACGCGGAGACTCTTATAAATGAATAGAGTGTCTTAGTTTATAGCTTTTGTACTCTCGTCTGAACATTCCACAAATATTGGGCGCAAGCTTGTTTTTTACAGTGATTTTTGAGTGCTGAAGAAATAACTGGATGCCAGGTAGAGTTTCAGGCTAGAGCTGCCTGACGAGCTAGGAACTTGGCCGGAGCGGCAGCCAAGACAGAGTGGGCTTGCTGCCCTGGAGAAGAAGGGACGCGGGTATGGGAAGTATCTTTCACACACAGAACACTGGAAGAGATGTTGCCTCTGCCCCCAGCCAGGTGGAAAGGAAGAACCGAGCTCATGATTTAAACCAAATCTTAATGGAGAAAAGACCTCAAATAGTTGCGTATTGTATCTTACTATGACCCAAACCAAATGAACAAGGAAGTAAACAGCTGAACTATACAAGCGGGTAAGGTATGAGATTTTTATTTACTTCTAGCTTTTTGTTCTTTTATTAGTAAAAATCAAAGGACGATATTGATTGGGGAGTCTCAACTGTAGCACACTTGCAGTTTTCATTCATTTAATCCTATAATCCCATCCTAGACCCGAAGTTGTATTTACTGTTTGCATTTTAATCAGCATGTCCCAATTGATTTACAGCCTATATACCTTTAACATAACCTTGATGAAGGGAGCAAACTATGAAAGGAAAGGCTAAAACAGAATTACCTAGAAATAACTGTTCGAATGTATTTTGTCCGATGTCCTAAAGAGAGCACTCAGTTGTTTTAATCATATTGGTAACTCACATTATGGTATAGATTTTTAGGGAAAAAAATCTGACTTCAGGACAAGCATGATTTGTTTTCTTAAATGAAGGATCAACTTGTAATATGCCGAGAAAAAAATCATTATGTAATACACTACATCATGAAGATAATGTATGAAAGTGCACTTAGAATATCAGAGAGTAACTATAATCATAAAACAGCTCTTGCCTACAGTTTTTTTTCAAATGCTTTATTCTGAATTTATTCTCAGAACTGATATATGTAAAAATAGCAACTGTGATCTTTAAAGCTGAATTCTTTTTTCAGTACCTTAAAATATTTGAATAGTATTTCACATCAATACATTGAAGTGTGCAATGAAAAATATTACTATTATACTTGATGGAAAACAGCAAATCTTTCCACTTAATGTGTACTGCTAGCAGCAATACTTAGCTTTCCAGACAGTATAATTATAAACACAAGTACTGTGTGATGCCCATTATCACTAAGAAATGGAGAAAAGTTCTGTTTTCACATGAACACAATTAAATGGTCACCAATCCATGATTCTTAACTGAGCAAAGTGTGAACATGTATTTTGAATTTTCAAAACTTTTCCTTCCTAGTCACAGAATGCTCCCCTCAAGTGATGGTAGAGAAGTACAAAGTCAATAGTTTACATAAGGGCTCTGAAACAACCTCCTTTATCCCTAGCTTCTCTAAAATTAAACACCATAAAATGTTAATAAGTCACAATCACAGAGCACTCTAAAATGACCACGTCTCTCTAATTTATTTAGCTTTATTGTGCAATCTGTTCAGAGATAATATCATGTTGCAAACTGTGCCTAGTCTGATTCTATAATCTGAACCCATGATTATTTTTTTAATTAAAAAATTCATTTCAAGAAATTCTTCAAAATGTAAGTGGTTTAATCCAAGCTAAATCTGATAAATGAAGAGGGACGGGAACTCAGCAATCAAACACAGACTCCCTACTTTAACGTCCTTCTTTGTAAAGAAAGCCTTGAATGGAATTTGCCCATCACAGCATAATCCCAAGAGTATTCTGTTTCCATGAAGGGAGATCACAGTAGTCAAGATTAGTGGTAACCTTTTGATTTTAGCCCAGCGAAGGGTGAAATTTATTAATATTAAAAATGCAGAAGCAGAAGGAAAATTTTTCTGACCTATACTATCATGTATCCGTATATTACATCTACCAAAAGGAATTTCAACTAGTTCAAAATAGATGATTTCCTTAAAACATTAATATAACTTCTTTTCATGAGAGGACTTCATAGCATAGAAAACAGAAGTTGGAAAATGAAAGCATCTTTGGAAGCATCACCCCTGTCTTAAATCAATGAACTACTGTATGTCTTTAAAAAAAAATGCCATCCAATTTTTTTTCCTAATGGCAAACATCAACACAGCAAAACAGGATGCAATTTTTCTAAATAAATAAATCAATGATGTGTCAAAAATTAACAGATGAGTTAATATACTTGGTGCTATCAAAACCAGATGGTGCTTCCTAATATTCATCCTGCTCAGTCAATCCCTGAATATTTTCTGGACCATCGGTATATAAAATAGGATGCTGCTATTTGTGATGGCAAACAAAAGCAATCATGCCTGCCAAGCACATACTATAACAGGCAGCATTTCAGCTCTGCTAGACAGAAAGTAATTAGAATGCTTTTAATGTCCAAAAGAATGATGCTGATAGGCTGCCACAGATGTGTAGATTTATGAATATTTATATGGTGGTTTATAGCTGACACTTTTATCAGTTGAAGAAGATAAAATATCTGCCTGACTCAAAAGCTTGACAGTCAGGTTAATAAAATCTCATTAAAGAGAATGACCTATGCAATTATATAGGATTTATTGTAATTCATTTTTGATTGTACTCTGCTTAAAGATGCAATTTCCCATTTCCTGATGCCAAATTTAGGCTGCATATCAAGATCTACATGGGTTTTAACTCTAAGCCTCCCACAGAGGAAAAATATGCTTTTAGAATCATGGTATATTACCCCTTTTAAGGAAAATTATACTCTTCAGGAGACTTTATAATGTTGAAAAAAATCTATTTTTAATCGAGTATTTCTCCTCTCAATGGTTTATGGCCCTTAATGGCAAATAAGATTCACTTCAACCCTTTCATCTCTTCACTGCATTTACTCTGGACACTCAGCTATCTCTCTTCCATCCTTGATTCATTTAATCACATCAATGTTTTGACTATTTTCAGTTTACCAGGTGGCCTTGAGACGCTGCAAAAACACTGTTGTGAGGGTGCAACAAGCAACCCCCCACCCACACCCCACCTGGTATGCTTAAATGGCTCTGTGCACACATGCTTATTGGTTCAAAGTGGAACCACTAGTTTCTCAAAGAGCCAATCAGCTCTTCAGGTGACTGTCCCTCTGATGGCCACTCACATCTCTGTGCCTGTCAGATGGCTTTGTCCCTCAGGGATTAGTATTATGACCACAATTCATGATGTCTAGTACTGTGGTTCCCCCCCACCCTCCCCAAGACCATTTTCCTCACTGTATGGAAGAAATCTACCATCCAATTCCTAGTTTTTCAAAAACCACACGGCATCCTGCCCTTGGTGCTATCAAGCTTACCTCTCTACGATCTCTCCTAAAGAAAAACTGAAAATAAAAGGAAATAAGAAATATCGGGAGTCTGAGGGGCATCAACAAGCCCCTTTTCACTCTTTCGGATTCTGTGATGGGATTTCCATCTGGGGACACAGACAAAATAAACTAAACAGGACATTAGAAAAAATACTGAAAGAGAACATTCAGGACAAGGTAAGAAGAAAAACAACAAAAAGTCCTGGATGAAAAAGCAGGGGAACTGCCGTTGTAGAAGGGGCCAGGAAAAGAACAGCAAGTGACTGGTGCAGAAAAAAGGAGTAATACAGGAAAAATAGAAAGAAAAAGCAAGGTTAAAACTATGGAGGAAAATGAGAGGGGGAAAATTTTATATCCTATTTAGAAATGTAAAACAAAGACAGCAAAGACTGAAAGGAGAAAGCAAGATGAGATTAAAGACTGAACTGGGCAGATAAAGAGGGGGAAAGCCCCAGTGAACGTGGTGGAACTGAGATTTTGCAAAGGAGTAAGCAAAATATAGAAAATGGAAAAAGAACCCAAACTTCTGGACAAGACAAAAATAAAGAAAAGGCAGAGCTGGGAAATAAACAAGAAATGAACAAGTAGTATAGAAGAAAATCAAACCCCAAACCCAGAAGGAACACAAACCTCACTAAAAAGGGGGAGAAAACAAATGAAAAACGAGGAAAACAGAAGTAGGGTAGCTTAAAAATGAATATAAAAACACAATGGAATATAAAAACAGAATAAAACCACACCCCACAAACAATAAGAACATCCAACTAAGAACCCCGGCGAAAGCCCTCCAACATCTCCAAATCAGCGAGGGATGTGACAGAACAAGTCTTCACTATAAACTGTAATTAGATTTTCTGCCTCAAAACCAATCCTTCATGTGTCAAAATATTGACAAACAACAGAACAGAAGCTTAGGCATCTATAACTCATTTCAAGACAACGCTCATATTCTCATTAGGAAAAATAAGCGCCTTGGATTCACCGATATGCAGGATTTTTGGAGCTTCAACGTATCATAAAAGGCCCGACCGGGAACTTTTAGTTCTGAGAAGCGGGAAAACGCGGCTGCGCGTCCTCAAGGGAGCAGGGAGCACCCCGGGGCGCAGGCCTCAGGCGGCGGCCTCCCCACCAGCGCGCCTCCCCCGCCCCCCCGCAGCCGGCAGGGAGTCTCGTACCCGGGGTGGGGGCTCTCCCCGAAGGGCACTT